TGCTATATGTATGTTGTTACCAAATAAATAAACCATCAAAAAATATTTACTTATCTTTCTTTTATATTAAAATGGGGTCGCCAGAAAACTCACAATCATAAATAGGGTTATAAGAGAAGTTTAAGAAGGTTTCGCCCTGCCTTAGCGAATAAGAAAACTTGTGACAAAAATTATGATTAGAAAATCCACATTGATTCAAGAAGCTTAAGACGTAATTTTGAAAACTTTTAAAATTTATAGAAGATACTTAAAACCTTTTTAATTATAATATTTTTACCTGAAAACTTTAATTGAACAAGTTTTGATAACTCAACTTTTTATTTTCTTTATTTTGAATTATTCTTTAGAGAGATATAATAATAAACGCAGTGTTTTAAAACACGTATTGTTTTAGATATGATTTAAGTGTTTTTTGACGGCGATAACGAAATCGTAGTTAAAGATATTCTAAACAATCATGCAAAAAATATTTTGTTAAGCTGTTGTCATCGACTACCTGACGAGGTAGATGAAGCTTACAGGTATACGTACCGCAAAAACAACCGCACTGCAAAAACCACAATGTTGGCTTAAGTGACCTAGCATGTAGAAAAAGATTCAGGATTCAAAAAATTTGATATATTATGATAGCTAATATGTCAGCCTATAAATTAAAGCAGTTTTAGTAGTTTTTTTATTTGTTAAATACTTTGGCATTTGCACTAGAGTAAAAATTTCATTTATGAAAATGTGTAGATTTTTTTTGTTTTGTAGTAGCCTAGAAGCCGTATCAGAGAATAAGTTAGCAAAATATAGTTTTTATATTACCTATGGATTATAACTAGATACTAAATTTTTTTTTTTCAAGTAGTTATAAATCTTTATAACACCCTCATAAAGAAAGGAAGTATTATTGTTGTTTTTGGTGTACATTTTATAGAACTCACTTTATAGATCATGTTTAAAAAAAAACAAACAATAAATTACCATTGTATTTGATTTTTTTTTAAAAAAATAATATATATTTATCTTAAAAACAATATGTGAACACATCAGTAATAACACAGACATCTAAAATGGCTGCTGACTTTATAACATTATTATAACAATAGGTTACTACAACAATGTTAAGATAACATAGATAAATAGTACTTTAATTGATTACTTTAATTCAAAAAAAGATTATTGATTGTCGTTGCATTCATTATAATGCTTGTATATCAGTCTTTTAGATGTGGAGAAGAGCTGGTTTGCTGGTAAAAGCATAACCGGTTTAACGCCATTAGCTCTGCAACTCACTTTGCTGAAAAAATAATTCTTAACAATTCTTAACACCAGTAGTGTCGGGAGGAGAAATAAGTAACTAAATTTGTTTTGAAAGGAGGTATATTATTCCATCGTAACTGAATTGTGAACTATGTCCGTCAGATAATAAAACAACAAGTCGTTCTATTGCCTTCTCAGTAAGGTAATTATCAAATTCTTGGCGCTGTCTAATTGTAAATTTGTAATTGTAAATTCTAATTGTAAATTTTTTGCATCAGGCTTACTTTTTCGATGAATAGATTGTAATTTTTTATGCCTGAGCTGAAATTTTGGTTTCTTTTACTATGTTATTTTTACTAACTCTATTTGATTAAAAATATTATTATTAAACATTTTAGAGTACATTTGTCGCTTTCAGAACATATCTAAATACTAAAAAATAACTTTCAAGTAAAAATTTAGATTTTTCTCTAGGTTCAAACACAAAGTAAGTTTTAATAAGTTCTTGCAATTATTATGCTCTGAAAATGTTATTGGTTTTTAATACGTAAAAAGCACGATGCAAACTTTGTTTAAAACACTGCAATGACATCTTTAGAACCAAGATTAAGTTACATAGAATCAATACAGTAAAAAGCGAGAACACATGTATAGCCTATAAGGGGTCGTCCATTAAGTATGTCACGCTATTTTTTCAACTTTTAACCCCTCCCCCCCTCTTGTCACAAACTGTCACATAATTCTGCACCCCCTTAAAAAGTATGTCACGTATTTCTCTCCCGCCCCCTTTCTCTTCTAAAACAATAAAAACAAACAAATCATTACGGAATTTTCAACATTCTAACAACATAGTAATTGTTATTTAACAGAATAAAAAAGACTCAATTTAACTAATTTGGAATACCTTCTTTATGGGAAGATCTTCATAATAAAATAAAAATAGTTCTTTTATTTGAACGTCATATTTTGCATTGCTGCGCTTCAATGTCTTCGGAAACGTGAAAGTTTTTGCAAAGTTTTTAAACTATATAAAACTTTTTAAAATACGCCTGACATGAGAAGTGTGAGTAATATTTTTGACAATCTGAAACACTTATTTAATTGAATGAGTAAATATGTAGAAAATAAACTGTCATAATAAAAAATATTTATGACGTCACATTTATCAACCCCCTAACCCTTGTCACAAATTGTCACAAAACTATGCCTCAATAAGGCAACAATTAAGAAAACGCATCACACTAATTCACCCATTAACATCGTAAATCAAATCCCTAAAGGAAAAATGAAAACTATTCTTGATGCATGGAATGGCTACCTCAGTGTACTTCTGTCACAAACTGCCAAAGAAGCTATAACTTTTATAACAGAATGAGGACGTTACTGATATCTAAGAGCACCGCAAGGGTTCCACGCATTAAATGATGGGTATACAAAACAATTTGACGACATAATCCAAAACTTTCCAATAGTTGTTAGATGTATTGATAATTCTTTACTCTGGGATAACGACATTGAGACTTTATTTTGGCACACAATGTCGTATATTAAATTATGTAATGGATAATGGAATAGTCTTCAACCCCTAAAATTTCCGGTTTACCTTAGACAATATCGAGTTTACAGGATTCAAGCTAACATTGACCGGATATAGACCATCAAAAAAAAATATTAGATGCTATAGAAAGTTTTTGCCGAAAAACATCACCGGAATTTGTTCATGGTTTGGTTTAAATACACAAGTATCGTACGCTTTTCATAGACACCGATAATGACGTCGTTCCACTCTTTACTAGAAAAAAAAGGTAAATTCTACTGGAACCTTACTCTAGAAAACCTTTTTCAAGCGTCTAAGCTTAAAATTATTGAGCTAATATAAGAAGGCGTTCAAGCATTTGATATTACCCGCCGCACATGTCTATCTACTGATTGGAGCAAACCCGGTATCGGTTTTAACCCCCGAATCCTTAGTATTCGCGAAAAGACATTAATGTATAGTTTCAAAGTTGTTTCAATCCCCGGTAAATATAATTACGCACCAGATGCAATGTCTAGAATTACCAATGATAACGACACAACACTTAAAGATATATCTGACGTCAAAAGCGCTTTATTAGTAACAATTTATTCACAAATTAATCATTTCAATGGGCCAATTAAAATGGATAGAATCATTGCAGAATAAAACTCTACGTATCAAGATTTGTTGCAATTAGCACAATTAGAATTCCCAGAAGAAAAAAAAGTACGACAGCACACCTAACCGAATTTTGGACAAAACATCATGAAATAGAAGATTCTTGCGAGAAATAGTAACATCAACAAGAAATACCATCCCAGAATATAATCCTGAAATAGTAAAGATATCCGCAGAAATACTCCAATCAACAAGAAACAATATTCAAGAACATACAGCTGAGAATAGAATTACCAAAATTTACACAGCCGAATGATCAAATCATCCACCTTACCCCCTAAATGAAGTTATCGAACCAAACATAATCAACTATAATAATGAAAATACTAATACTCTAGAATTAGAAAACACAAGCCAAAGCGAAAATGTCATACCATTAAGAAAATCAACTAGAACTCGTAATGAGCTAGTTAGATTAAAGAATATCATAAATAATTAAAAAAAAAATAATAATTGAAGAATACGCCATATTTGATTACGTATTATAATGCTTCTTTTATAATACCCTTTGCGTATTATAAAAGAAGCAACATAATACGTAATCAAATATATATATATATATATATATATATATATATATATATATATATATATATATATATATATATATATATATATATAAACTAAACCTACTGAAAGTGATAATGAAAATTTTTTTTTAAAAATATTGACTAATAAAACATAAAATTCACCATAGTAATACCATATATGCTATTACTCTGGTGATTTCGTTAAATATATATTTATTAAATATACATACACTATCTGAAATACATTATCTTGTAGGATCTATTTTTACACTATCTGAAATACATTATCTTGTAGGATCGTGTTGAAGTACAGCTATCTGAATGTCTATTTCAGTATTCCGAATGTTATTAGAATAAACTGAATAAGGCAATCAGTTAGCAAATAGTTCTTTATAAGATAGTAAAAGCTGCCAAACATAAACTAACGAATAATTCAATCATTTGGCACAGTGTTTTGACTAGTATCTAATAAATTTTTCAGTAAACTCATAAGTTACGTGAAATGTTTTGGGTTAACCAAGATGGCGGCCGTTTTAAAAACTGGCTTCAAAAAAGTTGCTTGACACCGCTCCTGTTTATTAAACCTCCTTGGGCGCAACGTTGTTTATTTAGTTTTTATACCGGAAACAATATCGCGCGAAAATTGTATGCTACTCGGGATGACAATATTTTTCCATAACTTTTAATTGCAACTTACGTTTGTTTATGTGTTTCGTTTAATTAAAGAAACATGTTCGATGTGCTTTTTTATATTTCATAAAAATATATTATTATTTTTTTTTTATATATGCATATATTAAATTCTATTAAATTATATACATTTCCCAACATATACGTTTTATATTGCGTGTAAAAAATTTTAATAACATTTTGTGTTTAAAAAACTAATTTAAAATGATAATTTTTTTAAAATAAAAATTATCGCCCATAAATAATAAAAATAATTATTACCTATTTATGAAAAACAATTTTCTCCTAATCTCCATTAAAAAAACAAATCACAAAAAACAAAATAAAAAACAAATAAAATATTTAACATTGTTTATTTATATAAATATATTTATATATATTGTTCATTATAATCAGCGCAAAATATTTAACCTTGTATATTTTGTAATTCAAATTTTTAACAAACGCAAAAGTTCATTTTTCAAATAAAATCTTTCACCCAGATGAAATTCGAGGACTTACAGTACGCAACTCAGCTGTTTCCGATTTACTTCGGGAGTGCTGTTTACTTAAATCCTGAAACAAATTGTTCATATTAAAAAAATTAAAAAAACAAACAAAACAGGATTATCAAATAACATAACTTTCACAATAATAAATTAATGTAAATTAGAAAAAACATTTTAAAAATATAATCAAATAATTCTAATATTGTAAATTTACCCTTCTTGATAACAACCCCCTGTAAAGGCGACCGTCAACACCTTCTATATCGATTTCGTTGCTAAAACAATTTTAAAAGGCTTTTACTTAAAAAATAGTGTTTAACCAGCAAAAATGGTTTAAATATAAAAGTCTTTAATAAAATAAGTTATTGCATGATTATAAACAGTATATTTAACGGTATATAGGGCATTACAAATCACAATTAGTATTTAAAATAAATTTTACTTAATTAAAAATAATAATTTAATGTCAGAAAAAAAGTAGGGAAAATTAGCTCCAATAATTTGGCCAAAAAAAGTAGGGAAAATTAGCTCCAATAATTTGCCCAAATTACAGAAGGAACCTTATTAATTTATTTTTTGCTTTATAAAGAAGGTAACTTACTCAATAAATGATTGGTTAGTTTCTTTTGGAACTGATGGAAGGCTCATACCAGTACTATTAAAATAAAAAAAACGTTGAAATATAAAATTTTTTTTTTGCTTTAAAACAGAATACTAGTACAAAATTATTAGGTAAAATAAGATAAAAAATATGTAAAAAAGGAGCACTGGGTTATAACTGTTTAGCAAAAAAAAACTACAATGCAACTAAATGTAGGGGAAAACATGGCAAAATAGAAATCCTTAGTTTATTTCAAAACTGTTAGTCATTAAATAATTTTTGTCAATATGTTTTTTTATTATTATAATGAATAATTGTCTTCATGAGTTTTCAGTTTGCAACTAGAAAAATTTGCAAATTTTAATTCTGATGTAAAATTCCTAAATTTGTCATCTGGTTACGTGAATAGGGTAAGATGAGCCGGATTATAACTGAAGCAATTGAGGCATGTGCTTTTGGCCCCCTAATTTTGTTAACACACTTTTTGAAAAAAGCAAGTTTTTTTACTTGAAGTATTTAAAATCATATCATTGGAAAGAAAGAATAAGAAAAGAAGAACAATTTTCTTTATAATATACAGTTACAAAATTCTATAACAGCCATGAGTTGACTCAGTCGAGAGTTGAAATTCGCTGCAGTGACTTCCGCAATGGCGGAGGCTTTTTAGAAATCTTGCTTTGCTCATTTTTTAAATTTAGTTGTCAAAAATGGTGTTGCTTGTTGCAGTGCAGCAGTTGTTTTTTTTATATTGTGCAACGGATCTACACATTTTTTGGATCACTCATCGATGGACAATCCTGACAAAAGTGCTAGCCAAAGACACCAGTACCTAAAAATCAGACACGTTGGTCAGTAAATGCTAATGTAACAAGTGATTTATGGAAAGGTTACAAGAATATTTAATCTGCTCTAGATACCATTGAAACTGATGAACATACAAAATGTGAAACTCAAAAAGAGGGGCTTGGACTAGAAAAATGTCTTGGTGAATTGGAAACTAGTACTTTGACTGTCTTTTGAGACACAATACTACGAAGATTCAATAAAACAAGTCTAGCTTTATAAGGTGCTACTTTAGATTTGAATAAAGCTGTTGGTTTGTGTCATTCATTGTCTGAGTATTTTCGACAGAATTGGATAAACCAAATGTGAAGTTTATAAAAAAGAAATCAAAAAAGTCAGAAAAAGAAAACAACAGCTCGATGAAGGTACTTCTGAAGAAGTTCTCTTTCTGAAGAAGTTCTCCTTCTGAAGAAGTTCTCCTTCTGAAGAAGTTCTCCTTCTGAAGAAGTTCTCCTTCTGAAGAAGTTCTCCTTCTGAAGAAGTTCTCCTTCTGAAGAAGTTCTCCTTCTGAAGAAGTTCTCCTTCTGAAGAAGTTCTCCTTCTGAAGAAGTTCTCTTTCTGAAGAAGTTCTCCTTCTGAAGAAGTTCTCTTTCTGAAGAAGTTCTCTTTCTGAAGAAGTTTTCTTTCTGAAGAAGTTCTCCTTCTGAAGAAGTTCTCCTTCTGAAGAAGTTCTCTTTCTGAAGAAGCTCTCCTTCTGAAGAAGTTCTCCTTCTGAAGAAGTTCTCCTTCTGAAGAAGTTCTCCTTCTGAAGAAGTTCTCCTTCTGAAGACGATCTCTTTCTGAAGAAGTTCTCCTTCTGAAGAAGTTCTCCTTCTGAAGAAGTTCTCCTTCTGAAGTTGTCTTTCTGAAGAAGTTCTCCTTCTGAAGAAGTTCTCCTTCTGAAGTTGTCTTTCTGAAGAAGTTCTCCTTCTGAAGAAGTTCTCCTTCTGAAGAAGTTCTCTTTCTGAAGAAGCTCTCCTTCTGAAGAAGCTCTCCTTCTGAAGAAGTTCTCCTTCTGAAGAAGTTCTCCTTCTGAAGAAGTTCTCCTTCTGAAGAAGTTCTCCTTCTGAAGAAGTTCTCCTTCTGAAGAAGTTCTCCTTCTGAAGAAGTTCTCCTTCTGAAGAAGTTCTCCTTCTGAAGAAGTTCTCCTTCTGAAGAAGTTCTCCTTCTGAAGAAGTTCTCCTTCTGAAGAAGTTCTCCTTCTGAAGAAGTTCTCCTTCTGAAGAAGTTCTCCTTCTGAAGAAGTTCTCCTTCTGAAGAAGTTCTCCTTCTGAAGAAGTTCTCCTTCTGAAGAAGTTCTCCTTCTGAAGAAGTTCTCCTTCTGAAGAAGTTCTCCTTCTGAAGAAGTTCTCTTTCTGAAGAAGTTCTCCTTCTGAAGAAGTTCTCTTTCTGAAGAAGTTCTCCTTCTGAAGAAGTTCTCTTTCTGAAGAAGTTTTCCTTCTGAAGAAGTTCTCTTTTTGAAGAAGTTTTCCTTCTGAAGAAGTCCTGTTTGTAAAAGATAAATTTCTAGTTAATGTTCTGATTGCTATTATTGATTAATTAAAAACAACATTTTTTTTATACATATATTTTTAGTCATCATCATAATAAATTATTAACAATATTTTTTAGTTAAAATGTAACGGCAGCCGGCAGAAGACAAAAGTCTTATCATCTATCCCCGTTGTATAATTTACATAATAAACAAATATTAAACTATCATATATAAAAAAAATTACAATCTCAAAAAATAATATTAAATTCTTTTAAATAAAAAGTGTTAAATTTTTTTTTTTTTTTTAAATACAATACAACTTAAAACAAAGTAAAAAAATAAAAAAATTTAAAGATGATTGATGATGAAAAGAGTGATATCACCTTTTAACAAAAGGAATAGTTAAAAAATAAAAGAGAATAAAATAAAAATTAAAAATAAAATTTCGAGATTTGAGATATGCCATAATCAAATAACTTTTTTTTTTAAGATACTTAAAAATTTGAATCGAAATTGTAGTTTTACTAGTATTTAGGAGAAATGAGTTCCACAAATGAGGCTCTCAATATATGTGTCTCTTATATTATCCTATTACAGATCTGCTGCATATTCAGATGTGGATTTGCCACACAAATAAATTTTAATGATACAAAAACAAGCAAGGAGTTGTTTATGCACCACAATTTGCTCAATGATGGTTTGGTAGAAACTTTTCAAAATATTACAGACGCTTTTAGAATTTACCTCAGCCTAATTGTGGCTAATTGTACAGGAGAAAGAAGTTTCTCACAATTATTGCGTATAAAAAATGAATGCTGTTGTAGAATTTATCAAGAGTGGTTCTTGATTAATTCTACATGAGTACATTATTGAAATATTAAATGATACATGCCTATCACTTGTTCTTTAGTCAAAACAGGCCCCAAATTATTTGTGCCTTTGGCCCCAGGTACCCTTGATCCGCCCCTGAAGATGACCAACAATTTGCTTTCTGTCTGTATATATTTCAACTTAATATATTTTTGAAACTCCTGACTAACTCACCTAATGAATCGCAAAATTTAATTGCATCACGAATCATCCTTAAAAAAGGTAAAACACAACCCATTTGCAATAACCCTTAATGAAACACTTTTTTAATGGAAAAAAAAACTTATCACACTAACAATATTTAAAATACATTTGCCCTGTTTTGTACTAACTGGTAAAACAAAAAAATCAAGCAAAGAGGAAATTTGAATAAATAAACAAAATAAAGTCTTTTAATAAACTCATTACTCACTTTATTCGAACATTTAACTTCTGCATTGGTGTATTGAGCGTATATTCTCCTCCACATGATCGATTTTGCTTAGAACTATCTCCGCGCAAACTGACAATATTATACAAATAAAAACTCATTATAATTTTATTAACTAAAAACATTATTAATTATAAAATTTGTTTTTCATTAGTTTTAAACTATTACAAATTACAAAAAAACAAAATTAACTATCGATCAGCGGTAAGGATAAATTGTGTACTAATCATATAAATGTATATATATATATATATATATATATATATATATATATATATATATATATATATATATACTTTTAATAAAATATATGTTTATATATAAATATATATGTATATACATACATTTATATATTACATATATAATATATACATATATATTACATATATATAAAATATATTTATATAATACATATATATAATATATATATATATTTATTTATATATTACATATATAATATATACATATATGTACACACATATGCATATATATATATATATATATATATATATATATATATACATACAAACATACATATATATACATATATATATATATATATATATATATATATATATATATATATATATATATATATATATATATATATATATATATATATATATATATATATATATATATATATATATATATATATATATATATATATATATATATATATATATAAGGAAAGTGGGGGCATAACCGCCCCCATAACATTTGGAATAATGTTATATGAAAATAAAAACGAAATGTGTTTTTTTAAAAGTTCAATGCAATGACCACATCATTAAATTGATGCAATTAAAAAAATTAAGCGGTTTTTGAAAATGTTATTACACAAAAATACACAGAGAAACGATTGCATACTGTGCAAATTGCACGATTGCATACTGTGTAGGCATTCTTTGTACTTACAGTCTGAGTTATCTCATTAGATATACCCTTAGCTTTATATTTCATTCAAAAACATACTTAGAAAAATTAAATTAAAAAAATGAAATCTAATTTCCAACATCTCAAAACAAAACTATTTCTATTCAAGTTTTTACATGAATGCATTTAAGTGTGACGATTGTAATTATTGTTATTCGTAACTTACCTAACTTTGATAAATATTAAAAGTATGCGGTTGTGCCTCCTATGCGTCTATGCGGTTCTGTCCCAGAGAACAGTTTTTAGAAAGAATACAGTTTGATAGCTTGCTTATTAGGTTATGTTGATATGAAAAATGGTTTTCACTTGATGAAATAATGCTGATAGCACCTATCTTTAACACTAAAATCTAATATTGCTTATTCCTCCAAAAAAAAGTCTGGAAAAGATATAAATATAATTTGTATATCAAAATAAACATTATGCACAACTTCTCAGAAATGTAACAGAGATTCTTTTTGACATAAGCGAAATGAGGGAAACTGTTTTACTAAAGCGTAGTATGTTTATTGCCATATTAGATAACATTTTTCAAAGGGAAATATTAAAAAACAGTTGCACCTCCATATGCAGTTATGCCCCCATTTCCACTATACATATATAAAAGTAATTAAATTTAAAAACAATTAATTTGTTTTAATAAAATATTAACTATAAACTAGTTTAAATACAATTGCAAAAAAAAAAAAAAAAAAACAACTAAACTTTGATTTTTGTGAAAAACAGAAAACTAACACTTAATCAGATTTTTAATGATTGCTGAATATTTTGAATATCTTTCTTTATTAACTTGGTTATCAACTCTTTGTCAACTCAATGTCTACTCATTTATACACTAATTTTATGATTCACTTTGAAGATTCATTTTGAATCAACATTTTTATTACTAGTTATATTTACAAGTTAGAATAATTACAAATAACAAATAAAACATTTCAAACTTACACTTTTTGCAGTAATTTTAACTGATCTAATTCGTAAGCATTAAAAGGTCGACCACGAATAGTTTGTAAGTGACTTTAAACAAAAATAAGCAAAATATTATTCGCACTTAAAAAAAACAAAAAACAGGCATATATATAATGAGTAAAAAAAATGTACTTTACTTGTTAGTTTGAAGAATTAGAGGTCGGTCACATGATAAGCAGTTAAAGTTCATTTGCCTATAAAAATGAAGATGTATAGGAAATAACCAACCTTAAAAATATATTGATGTTGTAAATTATACCATTGACCAACAATTTTCTAAAACATATTTTATGTTTGATGATATTTGTCAACTGTAAAGATTTAATCAAGATTTAAATAAAATAATTGGTTACAGCCTCAGTTTTAGGCTTTAGAAGCTCACCAAAGAATAAGAATAGTAACTCTTAACAGTAGTGTAGTAGTTATTAACATAGCGTAGTAGTTGTTAACAGTAGCATAGTAGTTATTAACAGTAGCGTAGTAGTTGTTAACAGTAGCATAGTAGTTGTTAACAGTAGCATAGTAGTTGTTAACAGTAGCATAGTAGTTGTTAACAGTAGCGTAGTAGTTGTTAACAGTAGCGTAGTAATATTCCATTAGTGACAAAAGGCTTATAATAATTCTAAAGACTGTTTAGTACTTTAGTCGTATAAATGAGAAAAAAAAAGGATTTAAATGATTTTCTTTTTACTTTTTTTTTTCTAATTCCAGATTCCAAAATTTAATACTATAACGGATGTGATCTTTCTAAAAAATTTATTTCATATTGTAAAATTTAAAAGTCTTGTGTAGTATAAAATTTACAATGCAATTTACTTACATACAACAGAATATTTTAAAAGTATAAGTAGGTTCCAGTTATGCTCAATTTTAAGTGTATTTTAATATTGCATTAGTTTGCAAATTATGACACTCATTTCCAATACGAGACTAAGAATTGATTTCCTATAGGAGAATAAGTATTGACTTTCTATAGGAGACTAAAAATTGATTTCCTATAGGAGAATAAGTATTGATTTCCTATAGAAGAGTAAGTATTGCTTTCTTATAGGAGAATAAGTATTGATAAGCACAGAGTTGACTGATTAAGGAAATTATTGAATAAAGTGTTATTATTATGTGTGTAATAAAAAAAGAGGAAGTTCACTTTTAACTTTCTCATTTTGAAATTAATTATATAAATATAAAAATAGATAATATTTTAAAAAAATAAAACTTAAAGTAATTTTCTAAAACTCAGATAAAAAATTTACTTCAAATTTTAACATATGGCTCTTATTAAATTTCTTACATAAAAGAAAATAATTTTATCAATTGAATTCTGTTATTACTCTTTCAGCAAATATGAGATTTTATTTATTTTATTGTAAGATTTTATGAGCAAACATAAGAATCACTCATCCTTCTATTTTTGGTATATATAGTAATAATGTCATCGTAAATATGCAGATTATAATAAAAAAATACTAAGTGGATGACAAAAAAAATATAAATATTATGTTGTTGACATTATTTTCAGAATTTAAAGCTTAAAAGTTCTTCAAACATCTTAAGGAACAAAATAATGACTTCTTTTTTAATCAAAAAAATACTTTAAACTGCAGTTATAGATGTTTAAAAATTCTAATTTGTTATCACATAAAAACATGTCATAGGTTTTTTATAAACCCTCATTTAAAGTTTGATTATTTCCTGTAAACAAACTTCTGATACGTTGTTTGATTGAAATACGTAGTTTGATTGAATAACATATGGTGATAAAAAAGTTATTTTATATGATACAATTATAAACATTTTTATTTACATTTATAAGATTATGAAGTTATTGACACCAAAATTAAATTTTATATCTAACAAAAAATTATTTAAAATGGTACAACTATTAATGGTAAGCAGCATCATTTTAAAAAGCAAAACTTTATAAAATTTTACTTTCGGACAGCTGCTGCCTCTTTTTCCTGAGGAAGAAAACCATTACCATAATGAGGATGAGTACAAACTATATTAGGTGATTGATTTTTAGAAGGAGCTTTGTCTTTAAAAGATTTCCCTGTTCGTTTATGTATATTACTTGAATTGTTTTGAGATCCTTCTAACCAGGAACTTTTTTTCTGAAGTTTGCTTGAATTAGGGATTTCATTTTGAAACTCCTCCTGTTGTTGTGACAATGAATTACACCTTTCTTCTAAACATTTAAAAACAGTATGCATCTTTATGTAAACTTCTATGATTTTTATAACACTTATAAAACATTTAAAAATTAAAATACCATTAAAGCGTGTACACGAAATAAATGTGAAAGAATAAGTATGTCATTTTTTTTCAGTGGTTATATTAAAATCTTTTTAATTGTTTTGTATTTTGTTTACGTGTTGTGGTTTCAAAAATAGTATTAGTTTTTTTATTAAACTTTAAATTAGTTTTAAAAATGACAAAAGAAGGAAACATAGTAAAAAAAATTATGCACAAATATTTGGAAAATCCCAATAGTAGCTACGATTCGATAGAAAAAGCGTTGCAAATTCATCTATACACTGTTAGTCATGTAATCCAACATTTTTCTCAAACAAAATCGATCAAATGTAAATCTTGTGGAGGTAGAAAGAAGGGTATTGAAGATAAAAAATTAGTTAGAAAACTGGTTAACAGTTTTAAGACTAACCAAATCCTTTCACTAAGGGAGCGCGCAAACATTTATGGACTTTCTCATAGTTTTGTTGTAAAAGTTCGAAATAAACATGTTTTTTTTTCTTTCAAAGCACAAAAAGTGCCTAACCAATTTGAAACTCAAAAACCCGCTGCAGAAAGTTGTATGACAATTTTATTTCTAAAAATTTCTGTATAATTGAAGACATTGAAACTTATATCAAGTACGATCATCAGCAAATTCCTGGTGCCATCTATTTTATTGCCAAATGTAGAGGAAAAGCAGATAAGAAATTTAAATACATAAAACATGACAAGTTTGCTAAAAAAGTCTTGATTTGGCAAGCTATTTGCAGTTGTGGCAAAAAATCAGCACCTTATATTTCTAAGTCCACACTTTCGGGTCAAATATATGTTAAAGAGTGTTTACAAAAACGCCTTTTACCTCTCTATAAATCACATGATAAGAGACCTGTGTTCTGGCCAGATTTAGCTTCAATTCATTATTGTAAACAAGCTTTGGAATGGTATATTAATAATAATGTGAAATTTGTGCCTAAAACAGAAAATCCTCCAAACTGCCCAGAATTAAGAGTTATTGAAAAGTACTGGGCCATTATTAAAAGAAAATTAAAAAACAAAAAAACTTTGCAGAAATATTAAAGATATTAAAATATCATTTAAAAAAGCATTAAATGGCTTCAATTCTTATTCTGTGCACAAGCTTGTGGGTACCACCAAAGTAAAAGTTTGAAATTTTATTAGATTCACACAGGAATAATTTGATTTTTTTTTAATTTGATCTTCTTATATTATTTTATTTAAGTTATTACTTGGTTGGAAATAAAAATTAAAGAAGACTTTTTTTTAGTTGTTTTTCTACTTTCACATTTATTTTGTGTACACGCTTTATATGTTATTATTCATTTTTTTAATTCTGATTTTTACCTAAATAATCTTGTAGTGGTTGAAGTTCCCATCGATCAAGTTTGTTATCCAAGTTGTCAAAAACTCTTGACAAATTTTTTTCACATGTTTTTTTCTAATACAAATATATATACACGTGAATTCTAATACTATATTATAGTTACATTATATTATTATATAATAAGAAACTTATAAATGTTAATTTGTGCGTGTTTGACAGGGAGCTCACAGCAGCCATTAAAGTTGAGTTCATTCCAAATAAAAATCTTTCAGCAATTTTTAATAAGACTTTTTAAAGAAAAAAACTAATTATGTTTAACTTTTAAATTAAAATTATGTAAATTTTAAGTTTCCAGTTATTTTTACAAAATTGCACTGTGGCAACATGTCTTTAACACTATAACGCATGGGAGCCTTAATCATTTATTTTCACAATTTTTTTACAGGTATATTAAATTACTTTTTATAATCTAAACCCATTGCTATTTTTTCAATTTTTATAATGCTTTTGTGAAGAAAAAAGGGTTCTTAATCACACTGATTTATGATCAACTCCATTTATTAGAGATGGACATACATTAGCTAAAAACTTAACTAGCTTTATTCCTATCAATCTACTAAATGACCTGGTCAAACTAGCAGATGAAATGCAACACAATGATACCACTTTCTTGAACTGTACTTGTATAACAAAAACAGTGACAGTGACAAAAATATATCTGCTTAGTCAAGACCCCCATGAGGGTGTTTTAAATTTTGAAAGCGGTGCATCAACTGACATCAATGTTTTTTCTTACCTCTGTGGAGGACCTTTGCACCATATTTTACTCAAATGCATATTTTTCATTGTTATGGATAAAATAAAAATAAACATAGGAAAAAAGCTTTGCAACATTAAATTTTTACCATTGAACTTATAAGTACATGTGCTTTTAAATGTAATATCAATTCAAATAAGTATTTACAACATTCATCATTGTGATTATCATAAAAGAATAAACAAGCCAAGTAACAATAACAGACCATGTATTAATCACAAGCCAAATATTAATCACAAGCCAATCATCAATCACAAGTCAAGTATCAATCACAAGCCAAGTATCAATCACAAGCTAAGTATCAATCACAAGCTAAATATCAATCACAAGCCAAGTATCAATCACAAGCCAATTATCAATCACAAGTCAAGTATCAATCACAAGCCAAGTGTTAATCACAAGCTAAGTATCAATCAAAAGCTAAGTATCAATCACAAGTTATGTATCAATCACAAGCTATGTATTAATCACAAGCTAAGTATCAATCACAAGCTACGTACCAATTAAAATATCAATCACAAGCTACATACCGATTAAAGTACTAATCACAAACTACGTACCGATTAAAGTATCAATCACAAGCTACATACCGATTAAAGTATCAATCACAAGCTAAGTACCAATTAAAGTATCAAACACAAGCTACGTACCGATTACAAGATAAGTATCAATCACATCATATGTATTAATCGTCTTCTAAGTATTAATCACATAATAAGTAATAATCACAAGCCGACTATTGATCACAAAGAAAAAAATTAAATGTTTATTTATAATTTTAAGTTTACTGCAATTATAAACAAAATTTACAAAATTGACTCTTTTAAAAAAAACTTGTGTTAAAATTTAAATATTCAAAACACTGACACCAATTTAAAAAAAAATCAGTATCCTGTTAAACTTATAAACCAATGTAGCAATCACACAAAATACCTATACTACAGATAAAAAATTGTTAACCTTTTTTTGTTACTTTAATCTATACGACATTTTTGTAAAAATAGTATATATATATATATAATATATAATAAATATGTATATATACAGCTGTAATAATTATATATATATATATATATATATATATATATATATATATATATATATGTATATAAATTTTAAAAACAAACTTACATGATTTTTAAGTTTTACAGCAATCGTTTTTAACAAACTTTCTAACTTGGAAATAGTTTGGTCAAATAATTTTTTTTCTACATTACAACTTTCTGGTTTAGCATCTGTGTAATCTGATTCTTTGCACAAATTTAATTCTTCAATTTCATCATCTAAATCGCTTAAAGATTCTTTATCTTTATAATTTTCTTCATTTTCTTTATAAAATTTATCATTATAACTATTATTGAATAAAAGGTCTTTATTATGATCTGTTAGTTTTGTATTTATAAAGTCATTTGGTGAGACTGAGCTAATCGACAGAGATTTATTTAAAAGTTCAACTTCATTATCATGAGAAAGTGTGTATTTCTTGTTACCACAAGGAGATATATTTTGATTAAATATTCCACTTTGTGAGTTTAATTGAGGAAGCCTTTCAGCCATAAAACCTTCAACAGCTGGTTGAATAGATGTCTAAAATCATATTATTTATAACAATTGTTGCAACTATAATAAGAATAAAAATAAAATAACAACAATAATAAAAATTAACTATGTTATAGTATAACAATAAAAAATATAACAAAGCAATATAATAAAAAAAACAATAGTTAAAACAATAGAGTAAAAATTATTTTTATATTAAAAAGAACTTATTTAAAAAAATACCTGAAAATGCCATGGCTGCTAAAACTTAATTAAATAAATTTTTTAAAGCATAAAAATATAAAATGTCTTAAATGCATTAATTAAAAAAAAAGCAGTTTAAAAGTAATATTATTTGTATATGTGTATATAAATATCCACTCAAAATTTACTTCTTATGATATGCCCTCTTTGAATTAATAAAGAAAAGACTTTACTAATAACTTCACTAAAAAATGTTTAAATCAAGAAATTAATGTACCAGGTAATTTTAGAGATAATTGCTGTAACATGTAATTTTAAAGATGAGGTGAACCTGCTAACCTGATGCTGTTTCAGAAGAAGATTAAAATAGACACAAAGAAAATTTGAAACTAAAGATAACCAATATATTGAAAGATACTTGCAAAGCTTGCTACTAAAAACTTTTCTTATCTTTTAAAAAGATTTTGCGTAAAATTAATATAGCAAGCGTTCCCAGAAAGCGCATGTGGTCACACACCTTGTGCGTCTGCATGCTTGTAAAAAATGCCATATTATTCTTTTATTTAGTTTCTTCCATAATTACAAAACTATTGATCAAAATATATATTTTACAAAAAAAATAGAAATTTATTTTCTTACCAAATTATTTTTTTTTAATTTTAATTTTAAAATTTAAATTTTTAAAACTTAAATTTTAAAATTTAAATTTTTTTGAATTTTAAATTAAATTTTTAAAATTATATTTTCTTAAACTATTAAATTTTTCAGTTAATTAAAATTTATTTTTATTTAAATAAAATTTGATATTTTGTTGCAACTTTGTTCCTTTTTTTAGTATTGGCTTTTTTTTTGCAGTATAGTTTAGCTTTTCGCCGTGAATTATTACACTTTCTTCAAAGTTAAAAAATGATGTGGTAAGTGTCTAAAAAAATTACTTTAAACATGGACAAACAAGGTGTACAACTGCATGTGCTTACCGGGAAGGCTTGTATTATAGCATTTAGACCTATAAAAATCATAAAAATAAATAACCCACTTAGACTTAAAATAACTAGATAACTATAAAATAATTAAAATTTTTTTTTTTTTTTACATAGTAAATATTTTAAGAGCCATTGTGTGAAAAAGCTAGGTCAAATATAAGAAGGCTAAAAAGTGATGCATTTAAATTGTTTTCATTTTAGGATATTTTGAAAAAAAAAACAATTAAATTATGGATTTACAAAAACAAGATTATAAATATGTATATGCAAGAACGTAGAAATGAGTAACTTTTGTTTAAGCAACTTTTGTGCTTATTGCAGCATACAAGGCAGCCCCTAACAATGGCGGCCATTAAAGTAAAGCTAAGCTTGTTAGTGAAACATACACAAATATTTCTAAAAAAATTAATTCTAGGAATACCTTTCTAGCAAACTGTTCAAGGCAAGAATCATTTTTATCCAGCTTACACTGCTCAAGGCGTTCAACAAACGTAAAAAGATTCTAAAGAAATAAAAAACTAAATAAAATATGCAAGAATTAAATATTGTGTTTCATAACATATTATGAATAATATTTATGTTGTTAACATTCAATGTAAAAGTTATTTAAATAAAAAACAATAATGTTTTTTAAAAATATCAAATTATTTTATAGTAAAAACTTTTATAATAGAAACTAATTATTATTCAATAAAAATTACATATAATAAACATCATTATTATTATTGATGTTGTTACTATTATTAAACTATTTTCATATTATTATTGAAATATTATATAAATATGTAGTTAAACATGAAAATATTTATTTTCAATATTATTATATTTCATTATTATTGTCATTATAACTACTATTATCATTATTAAAATATCATTTAATTATTAATAATAAAATCTTATTGTTTATATTGCAAAATAATAATAAAATAAAATTTAATAAAATTATTTTATATATTGCAAAAGAGAGTCGTCATGATGAACAAAAACCCATTAGAAGGCAGGAGTGCATAAATATAACAAGTCAATAAATGTACCAATAACTCAAGTCAATAAATGCATGTAATTCTATGGTGATGATTTTCCTTTATTATTATATTAATTAATAAATATTGTATAATAGTTATTAATAACTAATAACTATTATTACAAGTGCAATAATAGTTATTAATTATTATTAGTGTAATGTAATGTTAATGATTTTATTACATCAATTTGCTTATCTTTTTGATTTCTATCACAATTAAGATGTTCAAGAGTTGCCAAAAGATCTGATGCCTGTTTTTCTAGAACAGCCATCAATTCACGAATTGCAGGGATTTTTTCTTCATCAACCTAAAAACAACAAAAATTTTTTTAACATTATATATATATATATATATATATATATATATATATATATATATATATATATATATATATATATACATATATATATACATATATATATACATATATATATATATATATATATATATATATATATATATATATATATATATATATATATACATATAAGTTACAACACAATACTTTGAAAGTATAAGTCTCACAGAGTCCAAAGAAAAATTACAAGTTGTATTTTAAATTACAATCTGTAATTTTTATTTGGCAACAAAATCTTTTATAATTACATTAATGGAAAGTAGTATTTTCATTGAGCTGCAATACTTTTATTATGAGAGACTTCCCACATACTTGTTTAGTCAACTGATAATTATATTCAAAGACTTCAAAGACCGAAGAAATTAAATAAGATTTATATTCAAAGTAATTTATTATTTTATTTATTTTAAAATTTATTATTTTAACTGCAAAGTGTTTCTGAAAAAATCTTAGTCAATGTTATTGTGTTTTTAAAATATAAAAACACAACATTTTATTGAAAAAAAAAAAAAAAATAAAAATGTAAAAAAAAAAAAAAAAAAAAAGATTAAACAAAATTTCATAAAAACAAACAAAAATCAAATTTAGATAACAATAAAAAAAGAATTTCCAAGCAACAAAATTTCATTAAAAATTAAACATGAAAAAAACTAAAGAATTATTTACATTTCAATTTAGCAATTAGATTTCTTAAATGCTTTTAATTTTATGTAGAAGTATTAGCAAGATTTTGTTTTCTAGAACTAATTTCTTCTATAAAAAAACATTCATTACTTGAATATATATTACATAAATGTGTGTATAGATACATATACAGTTGCAATCAAATGTTTGGAATATTTTAAAAATTTGTAAAAAATTGAAATATTTCTTTAAAAATATTTTTTTACATTTTTATAAAATTCTGAATATTATAATTATATTTATGTTATAAACTACTAAATTTTTTTTTAGTCATAGCTCTATGTTATTTTAGAAAAAAATAAAACAATAATTATTTGAAATACTAATTTATAACAGAAAACTATATATATATATATATATATATATATATATATATATATATATATATATATATATATATATATATATATATATATATATATATATATATATATATATATATATGTTTAAATTTATATGTATCATATATATGTGTTCATGTATTCAATGTATATATTATTAAAAACATAATTATTATTATATTATTAGTAGAGAAACTGTATTTTTTTACTTTATTAATTTAAAAACATGTTTATAAATGATTTGAAAATATTCTCTCACACAAAATGTGATTCCTTAAATCATATATGTATGTACATACTCAAATATAAATAAAATGTCACTGATGATGTCATAATGAAATATAGATAAACAAAGGCTTTGTAAATACATTGAAAAGATTAACTATTATGCAAACAACACCCATGTTGTGTTATGCAAAAAAAAAATAAAAAAAAATCAGAGTTTAAGTCAGTATTTTAAAATTAGAACAAGCAAAGTATAATTCTGCAAGTGCCTGTGCAAGCTGCCAGATAGCTTTAAATAATCATCCAGTGGTATACCCTCCCATTTTTTCCCAGTAGCCATGTGGGAGACAACTTTTATTTCCTATTTGAGTTGTCAATCATAATCAGTAGTCTGGTGTAAAAGTTTTTTTTTTTTTTTTCTGGGGTGAAAATACTAAAGAAAAAAAATCTCAACATCTGAAATAATAGATTCAGCGTTATTAATGATTAAACTGCCCATTCACGTGATTTAAAATGGACTATAAAATTTGAAAAATGATACAGCTGCATTTGGAAATGAAAAAAAAAAAAAGTAATTTTAAAACTCATTTTAAATTGAGAAAAAAGGTGCTTTAAAATGCAACAACAATATTTAAAAAAACAGTACAGTCGCGCTTCAAAATATTAAATTGCATGTCGGCTACTTTTTATTAAGTTTGGTGAAATTTTATATTGCACCATATGTACTCATTGTTAAACTACTTTAAATGCTTTTTAATGTTTTCTTCAGAATAATCACAAGGAATAAAATCTTCATGGATTAAAATATGGTTTTATTAAACTGTCGTGTCCTGCTGGGTTACTGATATGCATTTTAAAAAAAATTTCAGTAGCACTTGGAGAAAACAAGTTGCTTGTGCCACCGGACGACCATGAGGGTATATCCCTATCATCTACATTGTAAATTTGTTCAGTAAACCAATGGTCCACCCATCTGTAAGAGATAAATCTACACCTACAAACAGTCTCTTCACTCTAGTAGAAGAATAAATGGCAAAAGAGCTATTATTGTTCAGGAATTTCATCTTGCATTATTTATTTTTTTATTTATTTATTTTAGGTATTTTCTAAAATTTCACTGTAGGAAATACTTCAGATTTTTCAAAAAAGCGGAATACCTGAGTTAAATGACATAGAAATTTTACACCAACATGCAATTACAATGTTTCAGAAATCACTTCTTTACCATTCTTGAAATTCTTCTTGAGCTGTTTGTAGTTCTTTACAAGTTTTGGCATAAACTAATATTGGATATAGGGCAACATGTTATTTTCTCCATGTTCTTCATCCATTACTATGGTAATGACTTAGTAAAGAACATAATGTTGGCAACAAATAATCTGTGGTTCTTCCAGTTTCTTTTCAGTAAAACGCCTTTGTAATGTATATATGTATATATATATATATATATATATATATATATATATATATATATATATATATATATATATATATATATATATATATATATTTCAGTTTTTAAAATTTTTTCAACTTACACTTTCTCTCCAGTTTTGAATGCTGTTAACTTCTTGTCTCAAGTTTGTAAGCATTGACAATAAGTGCTGCAAATCTTCTGTAAAAAAACAAACAAAAATTATTTCAAAAAATAAAATTCATAATATCTTGATAACAATTTCACTTGTTAATGTGCTTATTTTTGTTGGTGTCAAATTTGACATCCCGCCTAAAAGTTAATAAAAATTATATAATATTTTTCTAGTTATATGTTCATATAATTTTTTTCAAGTTTCATTGTTTCAGCAATATTTTCAGTAATCATTAGGTCAGATTAAAATCACCATGACCACTATGGTACTGGTAAATTGTAATCTATTACAACTTGACTAACCCCCTGCTTCCTGAGATTACTTTTACTAAGTAGAGCCTATAAGAACTTTGACTTTTTGCTAATATCAGGTTCTTGGTTATGTAAAGATTAGAAATAATTTTCAATAAATATTTACTCATCCTGGGCAAATGTTAACAAGGTGTCCACTATGCTAGAAAGAATGTATAGGTCTTTCTTTAAAAAACATGGTGGAAAAACTGGAAAATGTATTTTTTGCGCATCATTGATTCAATGATGCACAAAAAATACATTTTCAGTTTCTTTAGCAGGTTTTCAATAACAGTTCTTTCTAGATCTTTCATTTTTCCATCAGAGTGGACACCCAAAACACCTATAAAGACAAACTTTGCAAGTAAATAGAAAATTTCTGTAGACCAACCTCACACCCTTATTTCATATTAGGTTAGCTTTTTCCAACATTAGGTTAGTATCAAACATTGCCATATTATGCATTGAAGGTGTTCCTGTTTGTGTTTTTGGTGTACATTGTTGAGACAGCGTAACAAGGCTTTTGTTACAACTTTGATTCAATATTTTAGAGTCGCGTGATTGACTATAAGATATTAAATCTTATAGCCGCATGATTGACCTAGGCATATACTTACATATCAATACACATGATTGACCTAGGCATATACTTACATATCGATTAATTGTTGTGAAATCAGGTTTAAATCCCCTCACTAATATGTTGTTGCCCTACTTCACTTAATTACTTTTTTTGTTCTTTATTATTTTTCTTCTTCCCAAGGCTACATTTATTTTGATGTTGTTTATAACCAAATTGAACAAACCCTTTCTCAGTATTGTTTTTGGTGACTGCTCATAACACTAAATGACTTGTCTCTGGTTGACTAACAAGCTCATATTTTTAAATTACAGATTACAAACTTCTAACTTATCTTAACAAACTTCTTCTACATAAGATTAACCCTATTATCATACTTCTCACTTATAACTCATTAGGTTAGCCTTTACCTTAATGGGATTTTTTATGTTAGGCTGATGTCTTTTATCTCTCTGCCAAAAATTGCGTTTGAATTCAAAGTGAAATTGAATATGTTATTCATCTATTACTGGTTTTGAATCAAGCATAAAATTAGCCTATAATTTCTCCTACACAAAAATTTTTTTTTCAGACTTATCTTAAATGGTAATGCAGCTGTTTAAACTTACTTTACTTGCGCTTGATGTTAAAGGACCATCTTTATTTTGTGTTTGTAAAACACATTATAATGAAAATTTTTTAACTTCACAATAGCAAAGTTGGTTTAGTTATAAACATATCAATACCATTAAATGTCTAATAGGTATAAAATAAAAACCACCTATTGTTACTATATTTATTCTTTATAACATCATTTTATACTATTTTGATTTTGTATTATAT